CGGAGGAAAATCTAAAAAAAAAAAAAAAAAGTAGCTTTTTATCGACTCCAACATAACTCAGCCCTTCCCTAAAGGTGATATATACCTTAAGTGACTTATTCAAAAGTATTAAAGCTGAAACCGGGGTAGAGTCTTAATAAGGCAACTGAATTAGTGCTAGTGCTCCAAGGCAGTCGTCTGTAAACGCATTAAGGTGCCGGTGATATTTTTCAGTGAGAGCTTCTCTGGAGGGAAAATCTATGTTAACATGATGGGGAAATCAGATGTTATCTGTCTCCATTTCCTGGAGACCCCATATCTTGGTCTGCTTTTGCATGAAGGCACTGCTCGGTTCTACTTCGCAGGCTTTGTGAATCCCACACTTTGCACTTTTTCTCATGTTTTGAGATGTCATAAAGAGGTTGCATTTTCAAGAGAGGGGAAGATGTTACTCATGAATGTCAAAAAGTGTACTGAGATTTATTTCTTCCTATTTTGGCATCTGCTATATTGCTCCTAAAATCTGCTTCTCAAACTGAGCAGTAAAATAAATTAAAATAATTTTCTTAAAAAAACTGCGTTTCAGGCATCAGGCAAAAGATACAATTATAAATCTAAAATAAATGTGTTTGAGACAGATCGCAAATAAATGTGTCTGCGAAATGTTCCCAGCTTTTAACAGCAGTGCTTTTACATTTCAAAACACTTTCAGTCACATATATTATGATAGTGATGTGTTTACACTTTTATTTGCTAAGCATTGAAATGCACCTAGAGTGATATGAAATACATAAAATGATTTTTAATTTGATATATTGTGTTGCATAACTTTAGACGTACCTGCACATCAGTACGATCTGCGATCCACTTGGCCAGTTGCTCAGAGGCAAAGCCAATCCGCTGAAGGTCAAAGGTGTCTGCTCTCTTCGGCTTCCCTTTGGCTGGGAAATGCATGAAGGTGGGGGCAGAGTTCATGTTCAGCTGGAGGAGAGGAGAGAGAAGAGGAAGAAAAGGCAGAACATATGAGAAAATGAGCAGAAAGCATAAGAGGGGAAGAGAGGGGATGGAACTGATGAATAGAAGAGAAACAAGAGCACAAAAACATTAATATCTGCTAATAAATCAATAAAGCAGCAGGAACCGTGTGATGTGTATTACAGAGATTTCTTATAATAAGGAGACAGAAGCAATTGAAGAGCCTACAGAGGGAGGTAAATTACCCACTACAAGAATGAATGTCTGAGGGGCCAGAGAAAGAGACAGAGAGAGAACAACAGGATGAAATAATAAAAAGATAGTGTTAAAAGCAGACAGTTGAAATTGTCATTTTTTTGACCTCACGCTGTTCCAAGTAGGAATGTGCACAAACACTTGAGTACTCCGAAGTGACAGTAATCAATGATGACAAAAAAAGCACCTCATTCTTAATTTTTTATGGTTAGAGCGTCCTTTTTGATGATACCTTGCAGTCCAAATCATAAGCAATTTGTGTCAATACTATTTAAGTGATGTTCACCCCAGAATCCCTCCTGGATTTCGCAATTCTGCAATAGCAGAACCCCAAAAAAAAAGAAAAAAGAAAAAAAAAAATCAAGCAAACTGCCTTTAATTAAGACTTTTTGTTCCATTTCTGTCATTTTTTTGCCAAAAACAATAACCTGTGAGAGGGGAAAGCTATATAAGGTATATAACAGACCGAACAATTTCACCGATATGTGCTCAACTATTCTGCCGCTATTTGCAGTAAATTCCATTAGTGTATCCTTGTGCATCGGGGACCCGGATCACAATTTCAGTAATTATATTTACAGGCAAATAATTGTACTCTTACGGTCACTAATTACTAGTGTTGGTCAGTAACTAGTAACAGTAATATTACTTTTTGCAGTAACTAGTAGTGTAACTAATTACTAGTACGATTTCAGTAATAATATTACAGTTACCATCCATAAAACAGCTTGGTAAATTCTGATGCCTCAGCCCCTACTGATTTGAAGTCCAACAATCCAACAATTCCTAGATTTATTTTCATAATTTTCATGACTTGCAGTGCAGCAGGCGACTTGGAATATGGAAGAAGATGTGTAAGTTGTGGCATTACTTTACTCTGGCATGACATGGCTTGCCAACCAACATCCATCTGATCTTGATATAAACTATTACTATAATTAAAAATCTTTTTAGAAAACCAAACTTTACTTGTGAACTTCTTTTTATAAAACACATCATGAAATATAATCGTAGGCTATATGGGTAACATAAATTATAGCTACAATTAGCTTCAAGCTACACAATTAATGAGAATAATACAACACTTTTACTTAAACATCACTATCAAATCACCACTGAGCGTTTGTAATAACCTCTGACTGCGATCCAGTGTGGATTCTGGTGAAATGATGAAGCAGAAATATAGTGTTATTAGAATTTTAGTGGGAATATATGCAATTATAACTTCTGCGGGGCGTGAAATTCAAAGTAATGTAACTAGTATTATAACTAATTAATGTTACCAGAAAGTAATAAGAAACATATTAATATTACTTTTAGTAATGAGTAATAAATTACATTTGAGTAACTAGCCCAACATTGCTAATTACCTATAGGTACATCATGATTATTGGTGGGTTTTCACTGCAAAACAATCAGGAAAAAGTCCAGTGAAATCCTGGTGGGACTGATTACAGGGAGTACATACAGGATGTGTTTTTTCAAAGGCAGATGGACTGAGTGAAACTCAAATGGAGGCTTTGGGACATTTTACATTTATTTTGGGTTTTTTTTGACACTTTTTCACCATTTTTCTTTTTTTGCGTACATACAGGATGTGTTTTTTCAAAGGCAGATGAAACTCAAATGGAGGCTTTGGGACATTTTACATTTATTTTGGGTTTTTTTTGACACTTTTTCACCATTTTTCTTTTTTTGTTTGTAAATAACTGTTTTAACTTGACACAGAGCCTAAACAACACATGTAAGATGATGAAAGGTTTGAGCTTACAAAACGACCCTACATTCTAATCTCTATACTCTCAGGGAAAAAGGTACAAAACTGTCACTAGGGTGGCCTCCTTTCAAAAGGTACTAATATATACCATTTAGGGGTAACAAATATGTACCGTTTGTATCTTAGGGTACCACCCCAGTGACAGTTTTGTACCTGAGAGTGTAGTTCCAACCCTGTATTTTCTTCTGTGAAAAACAAAAAGATGTTAGTCATCTCTCTGAGCTATTACATAAAAAAATTGGATGGTAATGCATACTGTCAAAAAGGGCAAAAAAGCAGCATAAATGTGTCATAAAAGTGATCCATATGATGTGTGCTGTATTAAAAGTTGTTTGAAGCCCCACGGTCATATACACAGTCAAACTTACTTTGTCATGAGTGACAATCTAAAAACATACAAAACCAACATAAAAACATATATAAAGGAGTCATTTTAAAATTAATATTAATATATGTAAATATTGCAATATGGCTTCAGTTTTAGTCTCACACTAAACTATTCATTGGGCTAAGAAGGAATATGGTGCATGAGTCATATGCACTATAATGGTGCTTTTTGGAGCTTCACAGTATTTCACCATCCATCTTCAACAAAGAAAAGTGCAACTTGGAAATAAAACAATTGGGGTCAAAATTGCATGATGGTGAATTATCTTTTTTTTTCTTAGATTTTACACATTAAGGTGATGGTTCCCTTCAAAGAACACAAGAGAAGGAATCTAGCTAAGTGATATTCATGTAATTACATATAATTTCAATCACGGGGAGCAATCATGTAATCGCTGGTGATGAAATCGTCTTTAAAACACACTGGGGGAACGTTATTAACCAGCACCTCTAACACACATCTGTTTATTAGCATACTAATGGACTGACTAATACTGCTGTCCCCATGCTCTGGATGAAAACACATCAAATCAACATTAACCCACATGTCCTCTAAGAAATGGGTTTGGTGCGGGTGAAGAGAAGCCGTTGCAGTTTCCCAGGATGGTTAGGTTGAAGCACGCTAGATTTTACCAAAGCAAAAATATTTTGGACCTCACAACGAATAAGGGTAAAACGATATGACATTACCCTCCAGGGTTGAATAATACTGAATAATAAATGACATTAAATGTAAAATATTAAAATATGCCACATATTCCAGGTTTTTCATAAAGCTTAAATTATTTTAATTTAAAAAAAAATCCTTTAAACTGCCAAAATGATTTCCCTCTATGTTTGATTATCAGCCAAGAGCATCAAACTGTATTTCACAAATCTGCAACTCACAGACTACGTTTACATGGACATCGGTAATCTAATTATTTTATTAGAATATTAGAGTATAGAGTATCTAATATAGAGAATATTAGAATTTATTAGAATTATCTTATTCTGAATAAGACAATATTACGATTAAGGTGTTTACATGAGTTGCTTTTAGAATATTCCTTTCATGTTCCCGTTTTACATGTTATAGTACATAGTTAGAATAATGGCACACGTCATTACGTCCCAGAGGCGGACAGTAGTGAAGTATTTTTACTCTGCTGTAAAAGTACTTTTCAGATGTTTGTACTTTAAAACTTAAACTTTAATTCACAACATCCCAAAGCATAATATTGTACTTTTTACTGCGTTCATGATAAAGCTTCTTTCATAACTCTTTAGTGTGCAAACTGCAGTAGAATAGCTATGTATCAGCGTGTGTTAAATTAATGTGCATGTTCTGTGTTGTAAAGATTTTCTTCTCTATAATTTGCTTCTGAGAAGTGTGACATTTCATTACATCGAAAATAGATGGGGAGCTATTTTCCATTTGATTGTTCTTGCTGCTTTTTAAAATGCAATTCCTGAAGTTGTCAGACTCTGAAACATTTGAAGTTAAGACCATTTGAGCATGCGTGTGGAGGATCAGATCTGTGTACAGCCAGAAAAATGGAACAAAGAGTAAATGTGGTCAGGAATCACTTGTTTTTTCTGAGAATGGCTTCATTTTATTTAAAGGAGACATATTATGCCCCTTTTTACAATATGTAATATAAGTCTCTGGTGTCCCCAGAATG